AAACATTTAGCTGGTTATCGCTTCTAGTCTGCCTGTCTCCTGTAATTTCTTTAAAGAGTTTCCGCATACTTGGAGAGCTTCTACAAGATAGGAGTTTTTGAGTGAACACAGAGTTGAGACGTCTAATCTCTTGGTTTATTTGATCATTTAACTTACGAACTTCAATAGTGTTTTTCTCCTTGTACATCCTTTCTTTTACCCTCCGTAGTCGTTTTAGTTGGGGGGATGTAAGTCGATCAAAACTTAAAAAGAAGGTTTCGGTAGGATAGCAAATGTCAAAACAGAATTTAAGATAAGAGGTGATAACATCCGTTGTGTTTTCTATTGAGTCATCTGTAAGTACTTCCCAGTTGGTCGTGAGAAACATGTCTTTTAGATTTTGTAAATTTTCTTCTGAGTAACTCCTATATATTACTTTTTTGGTATGGTGTGTGTGTATTCTTTCCATGTTTACCATATACTTTAGGTAGGACACGAATTATACAGTGATCCGAACTAGACAATGGAGCACGTTTGCGAGTCACATATGTACACACATCATTAATGAAAACCAAGTCTAGCATTCAAACGAGTAGGAAAATCTACTACATTTAGGTGACCTAGTGATGTAAGGAAGCTACAGTCACATGAATTGAAATTACCACATACAATTGAAAGTGAATCACTGAAGGCAGTAACGGCGAATTCAGTAAATTTATCAGTGAAGACAGATAGCGCAGATGACGTGCAGTCTGGATTCATGTAGATATTGGTAACATAAATATATTTGTATTTATTCAGGTGTTGTCATTCATGCATTCAAGCATTCCACAGTTTCAGAATGTTAGTCCGTGCTGCTAATTAAATGACACGAAAGATGGGTCATACTTATTATGTTGTGGATTTATTGTCGAGTGGTTGGCGTTCTGTTGATGAGAGCTTTTAACACTCCACTTTTGTTGAATTATTATTATTAATATTAATGGCTTTATTCAATATTATAATCTGGTACAATATAGAATTCTCAGCACGAGTTATTTCAACAAGTTTTTTTTTACCAAAAAAACAAAAAACACAAACAAAAAAAACAGAACAAAAACAAACTAAAAAAAAGGTTTAGGAAAATCTGAGTTTATACAAATTTGAGACATGCTTAAGAAGACAGGTTATTTACTAGGTCAACACTAACAGCCTGTTCGTCACAGTAAATTTGCAAGTAAATTTGCAAGGTAAGGTATTACAGAACTTTTATAGATTTGCTTGCGTGCATGGATTTTAATGTATTTACGTCTCGTTCTACCAGAAGATATACAAGGAGGAAGATATGAATGAAGCGGATGGTTAGTATCTGATAAGATAACACCTGCCAAGAGTTCGCAAGACTTAAGATGTCTATCCATAAGCACATTAACAATGACTTCAAAAGATTCACCACATACCTTGCAAACTGCCTTCAGCACTCTACGTAAATTAGCAAAGTCTTTTCTCAAAAGCCTGGGAAAGAATAATGGAGAACAATATTAAATAATAGGTAATATGCAGGAATTTACAAATTGTAAGAGTAAATGGCGAGTAATCCCAAAAGCATACAGCCTCTTTATGTAGTATGTCAAACGGTAAACTTTTTTCGATAACAGTAAAACATGAGAAGACCAAGAAAGATCAAAGAAAAAAGTAACACCAAGATATTTGACCCTCGACACTGTGTTTATTAAGGAATCTCCAATGGCACAAGCATTATGGGATCCCAACATAGAGTATAGGTTCTGTCCATGTCTCAGGCTAAAGTTAACAGCTTGACATTTAGATGGATTGAGTAAGAGACCATTACCAACAGACCACCTTTCAATACGAGATAAAAACTCATTCATTTCTATAGGATGTAAGGAGGTATAAATTGGCATACATACAGTGATGTCGTCCGCATATTTTACAAAAGTGTTTTCTGTGGAAGATGGCAGATCATGCAAAAAGAAAGAGAAGAGCAGAGGTGAAAGAACAGCTCCTTGTGGCACACCTACAGTAGACAGTAGAGATGGTGAACACTTTAGTTGAGAAGGATCTGTTAAAGATATTCGTTAATGGATGACATAAAACATCAGCACATTTTTAAAAAAGGGGGTTTGGGATACCATCAGGTCCTAAACATTGGGATGAATTCAGAGACTGGAGACATTTCCGGACATCATTTTCAGTGAAACTAGGGACACAATTATTCTTCAAACCCTTGGATATAGGGAGCATGATGTCAGATGACTGACGAATAAAGGACTTATTTAAGTCATAAACATTTAGCTGGTTATCGCTTCTAGTCTGCCTGTCTCCTGTAATTTCTTTAAAGAGTTTCCGCATACTTGGAGAGCTTCTACAAGATAGGAGTTTTTGAGTGAACACAGAGTTGAGACGTCTAATCTCTTGGTTTATTTGATCATTTAACTTACGAACTTCAATAGTGTTTTTCTCCTTGTACATCCTTTCTTTTACCCTCCGTAGTCGTTTTAGTTGGGGGGATGTAAGTCGATCAAAACTTAAAAAGAAGGTTTCGGTAGGATAGCAAATGTCAAAACAGAATTTAAGATAAGAGGTGATAACATCCGTTGTGTTTTCTATTGAGTCATCTGTAAGTACTTCCCAGTTGGTCGTGAGAAACATGTCTTTTAGATTTTGTAAATTTTCTTCTGAGTAACTCCTATATATTACTTTTTTGGTATGGTGTGTGTGTATTCTTTCCATGTTTACCATATACTTTAGGTAGGACACGAATTATACAGTGATCCGAACTAGACAATGGAGCACGTTTGCGAGTCACATATGTACACACATCATTAATGAAAACCAAGTCTAGCATTCAAACGAGTAGGAAAATCTACTACATTTAGGTGACCTAGTGATGTAAGGAAGCTACAGTCACATGAATTGAAATTACCACATACAATTGAAAGTGAATCACTGAAGGCAGTAACGGCGAATTCAGTAAATTTATCAGTGAAGACAGATAGCGCAGATGACGTGCAGTCTGGATTCATGTAGATATTGGTAACATAAATATATTTGTATTTATTCAGGTGTTGTCATTCATGCATTCAAGCATTCCACAGTTTCAGAATGTTAGTCCGTGCTGCTAATTAAATGACACGAAAGATGGGTCATACTTATTATGTTGTGGATTTATTGTCGAGTGGTTGGCGTTCTGTTGATGAGAGCTTTTAACACTCCACTTTTGTTGAATTATTATTATTAATATTAATGGCTTTATTCAATATTATAATCTGGTACAATATAGAATTCTCAGCACGAGTTATTTCAACAAGTTTTTTTTTTACCAAAAAAACAAAAAACACAAACAAAAAAAACAGAACAAAAACAAACTAAAAAAAAGGTTTAGGAAAATCTGAGTTTATACAAATTTGAGACATGCTTAAGAAGACAAGTTATTTACTAGGTCAACTCTAACAGCCTGTTCGTCACAAAGTAAATTTGCAAGGTAAGGTATTACAGAACCACGATGTCTCTTATTGTACTTGTTTGTAATTTTTGCAGCGAAAGGACGTAAGTTTTTTATAAACGCACTTGTGTAGGTTATGCGATAAATAGACATAATGATAGGTTAAAACAAATTAAAAAAAACCATTAAACTTGTTGAAATATTTAGATGACAGAAACAGGTAACCCAGGTATTCAAGCAGGCCGCTTATGGCCTACGTTTTTAGGAGGTGTATTCTACGTGGTGCTATTACGCAGATATAGACGGAAAATTTATGGTATAAGTTCGAATAAATCTCAGTAGCATAACACTGTTGCTTTCAGAATAGTTTCATGTTTTCTAAAAGGTTGCTGTACGTCACCGAACTTCTAAAGTTTATCAGAGGCTATTATTTATAATTTGCAATTCCTTTATCAGTTTTTTAGTGTACTGACTATAATGCCTTCTGATTTTCTCATGCCTAAAGTTACCCATTGCTTTGAAGTTGTCACAGATATTTAGGATCTAAAAACGCTTTTATCCATGACACTTTTATAATTGAAGGAGTCCAAACTCAGTCATACCAGAAGTCAGGAATGATGAAGTTTGAAGGTATATTTGTAAGATAGTCATCATATCAAGAAGTGTTTGATCTAAGCCGTATGGTTACTATGAGGTATGCGTAGAACGGCGTACACAGTGGCAATCTGGTGCGGATGATCAACCAAGAGCCTTAATCTTGGATGGCCCCAGTAAGAAGGATACAATTTCCTCATCCTGCCTTTATTTACTGGTAGGCATAAGAAGGAAATCTTCGGCATATCAAAGAAGAATTTTTGATATGAATGCATTGCTACCTATTGATATTTATGTTCATTCTCCAATTACTGGCTTCTGAAGTTACATCTTCAAACTTTGTATAGACATAAAAAATACATATACATTTTTGACAAAAGTGTGCTTGCTTAATTAAGGCACTCTTAGAAGGCTTTTCCATGGATGACGCAATAAGAGATTTAGTGTCAAGTCCAGGACATGAATGACAACACCAGTTCCCTGGATTGCCCATTGAGATCCCTCAGTTATAAGTGAGTACCCCTAAATCCCAAAGTTCATAAAGCTATCAATTAAGAACGTAGCATTTTAAGGCACAAAAGCTTTCAAAAACTTAGGGAGTTCGCACAGTATGATTATTCCTCCCATATCTTACTTTCCTGCCACTCGGTTTTTTCCTTGACCCTATCTATTTTCAGCCTGCTTGCACTTTTCTCAGGGTAAATAGGAATATGGTGAACAGTTGAGGATATGTGTTACAGGCGTTATCTGTTACATGCATTCAAAGGCACTCAGGATCTCATTACGTTGCAATCTCTTGAAAATTTTCCGTGTCTTTACATACAGATTTCTGTTAGGATTCACAAGTGTCCTACTGCCAATAATCATCGGAACTTGCCGACAGAGATATCACATAACATTAGGCGTTCAGCTTACCATATTTCAGTTATTCGTAACCGCCTTAATATATTTGCATATTCTCGAGGTAGAGGTATTGGTATTTGATGAAAATCTATGTGCAAGGCGTTGCGCGTAATACGAGTTTCTGTGTTTACGCGTATCGGTTTGTTTGTCTGTAAGGTACGCTGGACTTCTGGGGTTCGTTGCAAGTGACTGACATAAAATCCAAACCTTATGTTAGGAAATGGACTTGGTTGCGGCTTTCAACACCGAGGTTAGTTGTAATTTATACGATCTAGCTTGTTTAGTTGAGATCGTTAACAGATTCACAGCTGCCAGTATCTAGAGCAAAAATGGCTTCAATAACAAGGGCCGCTATAAAAGCTTTAAAGTACTACAAACATGTGGTACAGAGTGTTGAGAAGTTTATAGCGAAATGTTCCCCGGAATACAAAGTCCCTGGATTGTATGTAATCGATGCCATTGTTAGACAATCTCAGTACTTTTATCGCGAGAAGGATGTTTATGGACCCAGATTCCTTTGCAACCTAGTGCCTGTATTCGTTTCGCTTATGAATTGCATTGAAAAAGATAAGCCAATGTTAATGCGCATGTTGTATTTGTGGCAGAAAAGTTCCGTCTTTCCAGATGAAGTTATAAATGCGCTGTGCGGTGTTATATCGGATCCCAAAAATCCACAGGTTGTTGAAAAGGGTAAGCTTTTATGTTAATTAGTTATTTTGTTTTAGCTAAAGAGGTTATCATTGAATCACTAAATAATTCCTCTACGAAGAAAATGATCACAAACTCTTCAGTCCCTTCACAAGCTACAGAAATGCCTCCAACTGTAAATAACTGTGTACCAAAAGTCGATGATGCATCGTCTGCTTATGAAATCACTAGTGATTGCGCTCAAAGGAATACAAGCGCCAAGGTCCAACTACTTCAACTACAAGTGAGTTTTGCTGTGAGATGCCGAATAGACTCAACCGTATCCGTATTTTATGTCGTTACGTCACTCTAAATCGTTTGAAGTAATGCGGGTACGTGCAATGCACTTAAAGTCAAAATAACTTTCCGATAAAAGCATAATATGACCAGAATTACATTACAGACAACTTGTTCGTATAAATTATCTCGGTGGTGCTAGCCATTTTTTGAGTGGTCAGTAATTCATTAATATATACGAGGTCGATTCATGTAGTGAACCTGAATCTTACGGGTTTTCGTGAATGAAGTTTAACTTTACATAAAAAGATAATAGCAGTAATTTCCAGTACTAAGTTTATAACAATACCTCGGTAGTGATTCTAGAGAGTCCTTATCTTAATTTGAGCGGCTCGTGTTTCTGGCATCATGTATCAAACTTTGCAAGTGAGTTGCAATATAATGACTGTCTGGAAAAGAGTTGCGTTTCCTGCTTCAGGTTTTCGTTAATTTACGAGTACAGGTCCGCGTACTTGGCTTTCAGCCACACCATATGTTAGGGTTTGTGATACTGCTCGGTATAGCTCTACCAAGTCACAACCACCCTTTATATCCCTTTCCTTATAATACTTAAAGTGAGCAACCGGGTATTGACTGGGTATGTAGAGCTAAGTTTCAGATTCATACTTATCCTCTAATTAGAAATTTGACACAGTAATTCAGATAAATCCACTTTTCTAAGCTTTGTCTTAACCAACATTTTACTAGATAAATCCACTTCGTTGTATTTTATGTCATCTCCAAGATGATAACCAGATTGAAGCCTCAAGGAACTGGGCTGAAAATCGGTCTCATTTGTCTGGACAAATTAATTCTATCTTTGTATAAGTCTTGTTTTCAATCTTCTGTTCATTCAATTCTTTTGGATCATATTCTTTGTTTGCTTTCATCAGTCTCTTAAATGCACATGGAGGCGACCAGACAAGAAAGCTTATCCTTTACGGATACAGAAAACAGGTTCCTACTAGTGAACATTGTTGACAGCTTTGTTGCATAGAACGTTCTTTTTATAGCGCCCCCAAATGCTCTGATATGGAAGAGGGTGGGGAGAGTCAGCCCTGCATTTCGAAGTGCTCTCACATGACCACGCGCATACAGCCACTTTCAGAGAAGCACTACTCACTGCGTTCTCGTGGCGGGGGTGTTGTTTACGAAACTGAGAGTATGGAAAGTGGATGTCCGGCGCTTCAGCCGGATTAGTGAACACAGAGGATTCACCCAGGCGAGTTGGAAACCCTGATTCCAAACCATTTGTACACACGGGCTCAAGAATCCTGAGTGAACAAATGGCGTATGAACCTACTGTTGGTCACCGACTACCATGAGACTGCATCTTCTTACGATGCTCCACTGCCTTGTGGACCAAACCTTTAGATCTAAGGCTCCAGGTGTGGGTCCCTAAGAGAACCACTTGCTTCGGCCTGAGAAATCGGGCAGTATCATAGCCCACACACAAATCGAGTGACTTATGTGGCGCATATCTGTTCGGTGCCCCTTTGTACCAATACTTATGTGTTCAAATAAATAAATAATAAATCATTTTCTCGCTGCCGTTAACCGATTTTTCAGTACATCAGAAGTCTGGTCACTTAAATTCCAGATTCATATGAAGCGTCAGATAGTGTAAAACGAAGACAAAAATTATCAGAACTATGCTGAATGAATAATTCTAATTGTCAAATTTTCCTACATTGTCGACTCCTTAACAAGGATTATAAGAGAATATTTTCTTTCTGGTTTTAGAGAAATTTACTAATTTTCCATAACTTATCGGTATATTCATTTCTACAGCGTTTAGTTAACAAGTACTATAGTTGAAACTAAATTCGTTTTTTTTTAAATAGAAAAATTGACCTAATAATGCTATATTTATGTTTCCATGGCTAAAAATTTCTCTGAATTCTTTTTTTGTAGGCTTTACAAAAAAAGATTGCTGAACAATCAGCATTGCTTAATCAAGAACAAACAATTGATCCTGAAGTGCTGACTCAAATTCATATTCTTATGTCAGAATTAACCAGACGAGCAGAAGCAGCAACAGTTCAACTTGCTAATGAACAAGCTAATGAAGATTTAAAGTAGGCTGTTTTTATTTGTTCTTTGCTATAATCAAATTGTACATACATAGCAATGGGTTCTCTCTTTTATTTAAGAAAAGAATAACTCCATTGTAATTGAGCACGAATCTATCAGTCAGTTGACCTTTAGTTTTAATTCCAAGTTCAACTAAACGTAATAGTCTTTTTCAGTTGTTGACTTTATGATTTAAATCTTAAACTGTCAATGACAGGTTGTAGCTTCAAATTCAGGCCCATTACCCACCACGACTTTTACGCTTAACCACCACCTATATTGACGAATAATGTTGGTATGGGAGTAAGTTAGAAAAAAAGTAGGAACAAGCAAGCCAATAAATGGTAACATCGGTCCATAAACTCATTGACTATTTAACTAGGCCATGTTGGTAAATCCAGGTCACGTGGCTTTAACCCATGGGTTAACCGCGGTCAGTGTCTAAAGACATTTTATGACCTGTCGGAATCTGTCACTGACTCAGATGCATTAACTCCTTTTTCTTCCCTTAGATCTTGAGTCTTAGTATCCCTTCATACATACACTTTCATTTCTTCGCAAACTTTTTCCTCAATGTTTAGTCTTTTTCATTATCATAGTTTATGCATTTCCCGGACTCTTTACCATTCATCTTGTTAATTTTGTCATCTTGCTAACATGTGATACAACAACTTAGGCAAATACATGCTTATGCCAGACTCTGCTTTGATTATGATTGACTTGATACCTTCTCCCATCCATGGGTTTCGACAAGTAAGAAACACTAATTCGTGTGGAAGAATGCAAAAATGGTGAATTGAAGAGGTTCTTGAGATACTAGGAATTTCCTAAAAGTCTGGTCAGTTAACAATCATTGCTCACACAAATGTAGTACAGTTATATCAGTTGATTCGATGTAAATTAAGTCACTATATAGCTTATTAACAAAAGAGTTACTGGAAACATTGATACGCATATTGCTGACCACTTTTGAAGCAAATCAATCAAGCTATTATTTTTTGGTAATAGCTAGAAAGTCACTAGAAGGTTTACTTCAAAACGGATAAAACTACTCAGTCCATTATCATTAGTGCTAGTGGACGGCTTATGCTCCTCCACGGGGGGTAACAGGCGTAATTAAGTAAGTATCATTAGTAACTTGACACATCAGTCGTAATTTATAAACGAATCACGTCACACAACTACGACTGTTTTTTCTTTACCATGAATATCTTTTGGAGTGATGTTATTAGCATCTGTGCTCGTTATTTGTCATTCTAAGTAATTTACATCAATCTAAGCTGATTATAAAGTGTACGACATAGTCAATGTTTTTTAAAGTTGTATTAATTTGTAGTAATCGACTACTGAGTAGTGACTATTCTCATGCTTAGTTCTTAGCTTGAGCTAAATGTGGTCAATCTACATATATTGGAATTCAGAGTAAGCTATTCTAATCTGCTCCATCTTTGGTCCCTCTACGACGTTAGTCTGACTAAAAGGTCAGGCGTAAATAACGTCGATCAAATCAGAACAAATATCGACCTCCTGTATGGATGAGAACATAAGACTTATATGGCCTTCTGTTTTTTATTTATTTATTTAAACACATATATATTGGTACAAAAGGGCACCAGGTACATATGCGCCACACAAAATAATGAAAGTAGGTAGATAAAGGATGAAAAGATAAGGCGGGCTGAAATGTACAACCAGAAGATTCTTTCAGTTAGGAAAGTTAGAACCATTCTTTATGTAGAAAGTAAAAGAAGGTTGCAGCAGGATCGCCACTGGCTTCTATTCTGAGCCATATCTGATAACGTCTCTAGCCACTGTGCTGCGCCATCTCTCGGACCCCAACCAGGGAGTCGTGAAGGACCAACAGAAGCTAGCCCTTTGCAGCTCTCTTTCATTCCACGACACCATGTCATACACTGACCTCCTCTCCGCTTTCTCCAACCAGTCCCAGGGTCGGCAAATAATGCACGACGTGGAAGTCTCTGGGACGACATTCGTAAAACATGTCCAAGCCACCGAAGTCGGTGTTTCAAGATGGTGACACCAATTGAATTATCGTCTCTGCGCCCGAACACACGATGCCGAACCTCTGCATTACTAACATGGTGTTGCCACTGGATGTCAGCAATCCTTCGGAGACAACGATGATCGAACACAGAGAGACGTCTAACATCCTCAACTCGGAGAGGCCAGGTTTCACAAGCATAGAGCAAAACTGCTCTCACCGACGCGTTGTAGATCCGACCTTTTACAGCCAGACTAACATCACGAAGGCGCCAAAGATGGCCCAGATTGGCATAAGCCGCTCTGGCTTTCATTATACGTGCATCAATCTCATCACTCACGCCGCCACCAGCACTTATATAGCTACCTAGATACACGAACTTCTCAACTACTTCGATCTCCTCACCATCCAGGGTGAGTACAGGATGAGAATCCTGCCAGTCTTGTAGAAGTACTTTGCACTTGGAGGGTGCAAAGCACATGCCGTACCTGCGGACACTGATTGCCAACTGATTAAGTGCTGATTGCATGCCTTGGGCATTATCGCACAGTAAGACAATATCATCCGCATACTCGAGGTCGAGAAGTCGTTCTCCAGGCAACACATCCACACCGCCATTACTTACATCCATCAGAGCTGTTTCTAGGATGTCGTCGATGGCAAAGTTGAAGAGGAATGGGGAGATCGGGCAACCCTGCCTAACCCCACTGCTCGAATGGAACAAGGGAGAAAGGTGGTTGTATGCCCTCACTCTGCCTGAGGTGTTCGTATACAGGGCTTTTAAGATGTTAATGAACTTCTCAGGCACACCCTTCTTCAATAGACAATCCCAGAGAACAGTCCTGTCCAACGAATCGAAGGCAGCCCTGATATCAAGAAACACTACGATTGTTGGCCTGCGATAAGTATGACGGTGTTCTAACATTTGGCGGAGGGTGAAGATGTGATCAATGCATCCTCGACCAGAACGAAAACCAGCCTGCTCCTCGCGAGTCAATCGTTCTCGGGTTTTAAACAACCTACGAAGAATGATAGAAGCCAATAGTTTGGACGCGATCGAAAGTAGACTTATCCCCCGATAGTTGCTACAGGAACAACGTGAACCCTTTTTAAAGATAGGGACGACTATTGACTCATTCCAAAATGTTGGAACACTTTCTTGCTCCCAAACCTTTCCAAACAACGCAGTCAGTTCCTTAGCCAGAAAGTCACCACCATCTTTAAAAAGAGCCGGAGGTAAGTCATCTGGGCCAGGTGATTTATAACGTTTCAAGAGTTGGAGTTCCTTGCGGACTTCCGCCTCGTTTGGTGGATCAGTCGTCACCGGCCATGGGGAGCAGGACAAGCTGGTTGATGTTGCCGGAGCAGCAGGCCAGTTGAACTGCCTTTCGAAAAATTCCGCCCATCGTCCAAGACGTCGAGAGATATTAGTGATTGGCATCCCATCATCCTCGTAGATTGTTTCACTCACACCAGACTTCTTGCTGCCAGTGGCTCGGATGAGTTGGAAGAGCTTCCGGCAGTTACCAGATGCAGCTGCTGCTTCCATCTCATTAGCACGCTCCGACCACCAGGCTTCCTGGTCCTTACACAAGCTTTGCCCGATTTCATTACGTAACAGCCTTCGTTTGTGGTCAAACTCACGGTCACCCGGAGTAGACCGACGGGCTTCGATCAGTTGTAAGGAGCCAGAAGAAACCCAGTGCTTGTAAGCGGGACGTTTCGCGAAGCCGCAAGCGGCTTTACTCGCCATTTTCATGGCGTCATGAAGATGCAACCAATGCTTACCTATACTTTTCGGTGGGGTGGTAGCTAGCCTAGAGGCTAGCTCCGCTCGATACTTACTTGCAACAGAAGTTGCAGCCAGTTTACTAATATCAATCCGTTGGTGGTGGTCAATCCTTCGGTCACTGAAAAGTAAGGTGAGATTGGCGCAGACCAGGGCATGATCAGACTCCAGATAGGTACTCCAAAAGGAGCGGCAGTCTTGTACACAACCACGCCAGCGGTAGCTGATCGCGATGTGATCAATCTGAGTCCAGGCTTGGGATGCAGAGGGAGGACGCCAGGTGGCACACCGGCGATGACTGTGCCGGAAGTTAGTGCTGGCCAGAAACAGGTTGTGGTCTGTGCACAGTTGCAGCAAACGGTCCCCGTTATCTGTCCTGCGACCAACAAGTCCCCATCGGCCACCTAGACGACTCTCTTCTGTGCCTAGACGCCCGACCTGTGCATTCAAGTCTCCGGCTAGTACTACAATATCTGTCGAACGCGCTTTCTGGAGAAGAACTGTTAACTGATGGTAAAACTCATCCTTGATTGCATCCGGGCTGCAATCTGTCGGGGCCTTCTGTACGTTCTGATCGTTAATTTACTCTTCAAATCATTACTGAAGTGAATTTGGGAAGGTCTTCTATGCACATTAACACTAGAACAATATAGAAATGATATAAAATATTAAACAAATAAACTAATGAGCCTGGTTCATTTTTGTAAGAATTCTAGTGATGTTTTAAACAGAAGGAGTAGAGTTAAGGAAAATACATTCCCATAAATTGAAAGTATTTTAAAAGGAATAAAGTTGATGTATCTCAAATTTCATAAACTAATGTATTTATTTTCATAGTTGAATTTTATTTATTTATTTATTTAAACACATATATATTGGTACAAAAGGGCACCAGATACATATGCGCCACACAAAATAATGAAAGTAGGAAGGGAAAGGATGAAAAGATAAGGCGGACTGAAATGTACAACCAGAAGACTCCTTCAGTTAGGAAAGTTAGAACCATTCTTTATGTAGAAAGTAAAAGAAGGTTGCAGCAGGATCGCCACTGGCTTCTATTCTGAGCCATATCTGATAACGTCTCTAACCACTGTGTTGCACCATCTCTCGGACCCCAACCAAGGAGTCGTGAAGGACCAACAGAAGCTAGCCCTTTGCAGCTCTCTTTCATGCCACGACACCATGTCATACACTGACCTCCTCTCCACTTTTTC